TTATTTATGCATACAAGAATTGAGGTGTAGGCCAGATTTTCAGGGGAGATGAGAAGATTCCCTGAAGACAGAGTGGGGAGCAAAACAGGCAGATCCACTGAAATACACTGCTGAGAGGAGCAGCAGGTTAGACAGGAGAGGTCTCTGTGCCATGTGGGTCAGCATCCTGGTTGGGATTGAACTTCTGCTGCAATGGCTGGAGAAAGCTTGACAGTGCCAAGACTTTTACTCCTGGGCCACCAGTGAGGTACCTGTTTGTTCTTTTAGTATACTTTTTATTAAACACTAAGAGTAACTCTAGTGAGCTAAATTGAGCCATGCAAGGATACCCAGTTTAATCATTTCAAAATAAAGCAGAAGTCTGTTCTGCTTGTTTTCCCTTAACTCAAACTGTTTATTGAAAGAGCCAAAATTCTGAAAGGAAACAGTGCTGACAATGGGGGTGAGGCAGGGACGTGGGGATGGAAGCAAGTCAGAGAAAGACAAAGAGAACATTGCATGTCTAGTGCAGAGTCAGTAATCTTCAGATGCAGGATTGTCAGCTAAAGCCATAGCTCTTTCTCAAAATTAAGATAGGGCCCTCCCTGGTAGTACAAGGAGTTAAAGTGCAGCACTATGAAGCTTGCCACAGCCACTGCAGCATGAGTTCCATCCCTGGCCCCGGAGCTGACCCACATGATGCAGCAGACCTCTCCTGACCTGCCTGCTGCTCCCCTCAGCAGTGTATTTCAGTGGATCTTCCTGTTCTGCTGCCCACTCTGTTTCTCGTGAATCCTCTCACCCTGCCCCACCCCCACACCTCTCACCTGTACCCCAGTTCTTATTTACATAAATAACTAGATCTTTAGAAACTTAGCAAATAGTTCACACATTCGAAGTTATAGCAGGTACATCATACCCCTCCACATACATGCTTAAGCTTTAGCTGAATTATGAGTACCTCTAGTTCTGATGTCTCCAAATATATCTGACTAGTTACTCCAATACTCCCATCCAGGTCACTCTTCTGACTACAATGCTGTGATAGATGGTTAGGAAAAAGGAGTTGGTGCAACCTTAGTGTGGCTATTCAGTTGCAAATAAATCATTTCTTTCTCTGTACCTCAGGCTCCTCTTTTAAGATCGATTTACAACTTCACAGTAGTTGCTAAATTTAAATGTGACCATGGGAGTGTGTTTATCACAGTGAACGTGTGAGATGGTAAATTGGTTAAACTTAGAAATGGTGAAATATTTTCATCTTTATCTTAGTTACTATTTTCTGTGGCTTTTTCCCCACATTGGTCCCTTTCTCATTTAAGAGAGAATAACAGGAGAGGGGTGTAGTGGGGATGAATGAGAGAGAGAGAGAGAGAGAGAGAGAGATTTGTGTATTCCATTTCAAGAAAACTTCACAATGGCACAGGCAAGCCCCCAGGAAGCCCTGACACACCACTTCCTTTTTCACTATTGATTTAGCTTCAAAAACCAGCAAAGGAGAAGCTAAGAAAGATGAGACTTGGCAGCCATGGCATGAAATAGTTCATAGTTCCAAGTTCGGCCTGATCTAGTTTTAACAATGTTCCCATTATCATCTAAAAGTATAAAGATAGATAAAGGTGTTCAGATTAAATAAAATGCCTGCTATGCTTTGAAGAGAAGAGTACAAACTATTCTTAAAATTGTGTGTTCTGTCCTGGATGTTACGATAATGAGAAGATAAACAGACTTATGAGCATCTGCTCCTTTTGGCAGAGTTTAGCATTTTAAATCATTTATGAAAACTTTCAAAAAAATTGTAAGCAAACAACAATGTTAAAATAATTTTATGGTGTCACCCTGTAAGCCCCAATCCATACCATTAATATTTTACTCCACTTGTTTTGTTACATACCTATCTTTATATCTCTCCTTAAACTATCTTTAATGTGGTACAGAGTAAATGGCAGGCGTCAGTATTTTTCAATCTAAAACTGGGACTGCTCACGTCACAGTTATGACTATATCATATGTGTAAGTTCTTTTCTTTTCTTTCTGCAAGCTATAGTGTATATGAGCCTTCAGTGTAGATTCACTGAGTTTGACAAATATATACAGCTCTGAACTCAAATTAGTCTATTTTGAGATTGACTCCCATATTTTGACTGCTGATATTATATGTGTCTAGTCTCTTCTTAAGAAATACAAGATTTTTGGTTGCCTGTGGTTCATTGTGTATGTGCTTCCTGTTCATTTCCAAAGTACTGTTCAGAACTAGAGCGTATTCTGATAATTTGCTCAGCTATGGCACCTGAAATAAATGATAGACTTAAAATGTAGATGAGGGATTTGTATTTGGGAGAAAGGGGAGCAGGTGTGGCCAAAGGTGAGACAAGAGGTTTTGCAGTAAAGATAGAACAAGACAAAATGGTGGAAAGACATTTTTGTATCTACAGATGACAGGAAACTGACCTGTGGAGGATCACAGTTCCAGTAAGGGCAAGGACAAGGGGTCGGGTCAGGAGGCAGCACTCTCAGAGATGCACTGTGAGGCCCTCCCTGATGGTACAGCGGGTTAAAGAACCGCACTGGGAAGCTGGAGCCACTTCTGCATGAGTTCGATTCCCGCCTGCCCTGGAGGTGACCACATGGTGCGGCAGACCTCTCCTGACCCGTCCGCTGCTCCCCTCAGCAGTGTACTTTGTCAGTCTGCCTATTCTGCTCCCCATTCTGTCTCTGGTGAAGCCTCTCGCCGCCCCTGAACCTCTGAACTGTACCCCAGTTCTGTATGCACAAATAAATAAATCTTAAAAAAAAAAAAAAGATGCACTGTGAGTTGGTAGCAAACCCCACATGCCATTCTACATGTTTACACTAGAAAGAGCTAAATTATTTCTAGAGACCAAAGGAAAGACAATGGCTTTATTTCTCTAATGAGCAGGGGATTTAGTGTAAAGATGAAATGACACAAGGGAAAAAACCACCTGACTTAAATTTCCAAAATAGCAGGTGAACAAAATATAGATGTTTAAAATACTCTTTTGATACTGAGGAAAAGAACAACATATCCTGACCAGTGAGAGCAGCAGATCGCTGAAACTGATGAAGAGAGTGTCAATAAAAGCAACGGAATTTTGAACGTGTTCCTTATCAAAGACTAAGTGCTGGCCTGCATCATTTTCTTTATGTTCACTATGAAATTAGGAGGTAGATACTGGTATCGCCATTTCAAAGATGAGTAAATCATAACACAGAGAAATTGTGACCTGTTCAAAGTCACATAGCTTATGTCAGAGCTGTGATTCACATGCTTCTTTGTGTGACTTGAAGACCCACCCTGTCATTTTTATAATTATATGTTACATGGTCTTTTTTTTTTTTAACATGGCCATTTTTCTCCACCAAGAAGAGTACTCGTTAAACATGGAAGAGCACAAAGCCCATCCTGAAAGAGCACAAAGCCCATCCTGAAAGAGCTTAACTTAATCTGTCCCTTAGCTCTTTATCTAAATACCAGCTGAATCCTAAAATTTGGTCAGAAGTCTTCAATTACACATGCAAAGGGTAATATCTCTGTGGAAAAAAAAATAATATCTTTGTGTAAAGCACATGTTGGGCTTTCATTTTTAGAGTTAACAAGACACTTTATACATTAAAAATCTTAAATGATCTCTTTCTTTTTTGACTGCATGCCAACGAGTTACATTCTTTCTCACCCCCCTCTTCAGTCATCATTGTTTCCTTGCTGAACCTTCAGCAAATCCAGCTGGGATTTAAGGCCCTTTTCTTTTCTTTTCTTTTCTTTTTTTAAAGATTTATTTATTTGTGCATACAGAACTGGGGTACAGGCCAGAGGCTGAGGGCCGGCGAGAGGCTTCACCAGAGACAGAGTGGGTGCAGAACAGGCAGATCCATCCACGAAGTACACTGCTGAGGGGAGCAGCGGACGGGTCAGGAGAGGTCTGCCGCTCTATGTGGTCTCCTCCGGGGCAGGCGGGAATCGAACTCATGCGAAAGTGGCTTTAGCTTCTCAGTCTTGTGCTTTAACCCGCTGCGCCACCAGGGAGGTTAAGGCCCTTTTCAACCCCTACCCATAAGTACCTCCAACAGAGCCTGCCACAGAGTAGGCACCCAGTAAATATTTGATGGTCACTCTAGTAAATGCATCTAGAGATGTCTTTATGTGAGTTTCCTTGGGAGATGTTATTTGTAAAACCGTCCTCTACTACATGAAGGTACTCAGGAGAGACTGGAGAGACTTCCCAAGTCTTTCATGATATTTGTATATCCAACTTGTCTTCATAGGCTTGAGCCAGCTATGTGAAATCCGAGCTGGTCACCAAAAGAACTGTGTGTTAGCCTTGACTGTCCTATTAACTGGAGGTTTCTTTTGGGCAGTAAGTCATTAAACTTTTCCTGGGCCTTAGGATTCCTCATATTCATCCAGTTATCTGGATTGATTATGATCAACTGACAACATTCTATCAAGGTAAAAGCCTTTAAGGACTGCATCTGTTTGCTATATCTTGAATATTTACTACATATTAAAATGTATTCACTTGTTTTCTCTCCCTGTGCACTCTGATGTGGGAAAACCAACAAATGTATATCTTTACATTATATATGATCTAAATCCACCATTCCCTAGAGATGAGGAATCTATAGTTAGAGAGGATATGTATTTTGTTTTTATATAAAATACTTTTATTTAGAAATTGGAAAGAACTGATACTAGGTAATCTAAGACTGAACAGATACTGAAAAATATTGCAACCATACTATCTGATCCTGTTGTTCAAAAGTCTTCATTGTCTACATTGTCTTGGAAATTTCAAGAATAAGAGGCAGAAAGGGATTTTTCCAGTGATCCCACACTGACTGCATGGCTGAGTTGGATCAGAAAAACAGCTTTTTGCTAATCCAAATTTACACGAGGTCAATCACTAAATATTGTGTCTGTATGCCTTCTTTATCTCCATGTAAAAACACAATTGATTTTTCTGTGGAATTTACTTTATTGACAAGCGAATCAAGGGAAATATGTACTGAACTCCCCAAGACCCAGACAGAGGAGGTGTAGCTTCATAAATTTAAGGGATCCATTTGAGAGGTGAGAAAAGAGGATGCATGAGCCAGCAGGTCAGCACAAAATACTGGCTGGACTTCAGCATTTTCCATGATGTTTTAGGTTGATCTTTCCACCACTTTTCCTACAGAAGAGAAAGACAAATATATGTTCAGTGCAATAAAACAGAGCTTAGAAAAAGATATGTTACAGTCCCTGTACCATTCCATTTGATTCTGTAAGTATCTATGCCAAATGATTTGATAGAGGATAATTCAATGTTCTGAGGAATAACATCTGGCCAAATTGCAGCAATCGTGAATTTTGAAATGTCAAAATGCATCTGATCTTTTAGTTTCAATGGTGTCATTCTCTTAGAGTAAATGTATATACACATGGAAAGTGAAAAGTGGCAGAGAAATAATGGCAAGGAGAATATAATGTCACAGTTTTGTTCTGGTAAGAAGATAGGAGATGCTAAATCACATACTTAGATATTTGGTATTTTATAGCAGAGCATATATGCAGGCCTTCTTAGTAGTATATGTCACTGAAATCCATTTTCATCTTACTCTGCTGCCCTTCTCTGCTAATCAATTGGTATTGATTAGCCAGCTCTGTATATATAAATCTAAGCATGTATATTACATGTTGATTCCATATTTATTAATTTTATTCCATACGATGTCCCTGTTAATACTGACAGAAATTTGTGTAATCCTTGTACTTAGGAATTTTACAACAAAGTTGAAAGAAGTTAATGCTATAGCAGAAGACACAATACAACTCTAGTACAGGAAAATAATGACACTGGAAAGTAAGAGAGGTAACTGTTATCTGGGTTTGACAAGAATTATAGTTTCCCTGCTTTTAAAACTGTCAATCTAAATGATGAATTGAATTTTGAGGAATTTTTATTATTTATAACCTATATCTTATCAAGAAGTTCAGAAAACTTCTCACTGAAGCATCAGGAAGCTACTGACTAAATGAGTGAAATCTATAGTAACTGTTCTGTCCTTATGTATGTGAGAACTCAATAGATACTAGCCCTTGGAGAATCTTTCTAATTCACTCTCTACCTAAAAAGTTTAAATAGTCTGGATAATAAAAGATAATGTTTTCCTCTGTTCTTTGTTCATTAGACTGAAAGAATGAATGAAATATAGTACCTAGCAGCATATAATTCAATATAAAATAAAATGCTTGAAAATAATTTGGATGAATAATATTTAACTGATAAATTTTCCCATGAGATTTTTATAGTGATTTGATGAATTTTCAAACTTTACTGAATCTCTAAAAATTTCCCACATCTCCAAAATTAATAATAATTGAGGAAAATGTTTAATTTGAAGTAGATTTTTAAAATAAAATTAATTTAAAAATTTTAAGGTACATAAATTTTAAAGACATCTCCCTAAGATGAGTCATATTTAAAAATAACAAAGTAACTAAGATTAGTTTTCAAGTAATGTAAATTACTTTAAAAAAAAAACTATTTATTTATGTGTACAGAACTGGGGTAGAGGCCAGAGGTGCAGGGGCAGTGAGAGGATTCACCAGAGACAGAGTGGGGAGCAGAACAGGCAGATTGACGAAGTATACTGCTGAGGGGAGCAGCAGGTGAGGCAGGAGAGGTCTGTCCTGCCACATGGATCACCTTCAGGGCCAGGCATCGAACTCACACTGACACAGTTGTAGCTAGCTTGCAGTGCTGTGTTTTAACCCACTGCACCACCAGGGAGGGCTATAAATTGCTTTTGAGCTATTTGATTCTAATCCATTTGCCTAAAGCTTACTTCTTTAGTCTTTCTTTGTGTGTGGATATGAATAGAACTTCCTAGAATATCTGAATGAAAGTTTCAGTCTCATTCTGGATGTTTGCGTTAGCAAAGGACAGCTTTGGTGAGTATGATACTTACGCCATTGCCTTACAGAAGGCGCATTTATTGCCATAAGTCTGGCCGTCAGAACCACAGTGGGGGTCAGATTCCCGAGTGCAGTAGATCTTGGGGTCTCGGAACTCACCACAGTTGACCTATCAAAATAAGTGTATTGACACAGACATTAGTTTATTGATAAAGGACTGTCTTGTAGAACAGCTTTGGACAGCAGACTTAAAATTATATATGTAGATACATTATATACAATATACCTATGTATGGTGTGGTATATTGTATATAATATATCCCTATATATGCATATGCATATGTATGTATATAGACACATATATGCATATGTATGTATGGTGTACACACACACATATAGATCCATACATACATATATATATATATATATATATATATATATATATATATATGTAATGCTTCCTGAAATAAAAAGTAGCTCTCCTTCTTTGCTTAACTTGAAAAATATAAACATTATTAAAACTTTTTCTTTGGGACACAGGAATCCCATTTCTGTGACAGTTATATTCAGGCTAGGTTAATGGTGTCAGGCAAATGCTCCCTTCTTACAAAAATCCAGAAGAAGTGAAATGTTATAGCTGTGACTTTTTTGCTCCAGCACAAAATTGGTCATGTTGGTCTTTAAGTGACATTTTTAAACTATATTAGCACCAACCTTTCTGATTGCTATAAATATGTGATTGATGAGCCCCCAGATATTATCTAATGGTAAGTTCGTTTTTCCATAACTGCTACCTCAACTTACTATCTCTTGAAAACAGAATCCTAATATCTTTCTATTAACTTACTCTGCTCAGAGCACTTTGGTAGAATTTGAACCTCTCTAAGTTATACAGTGGATTAAGAATCACTGCCAGTTTAGAAGGATTCTATGGTGGCATCCAGCCTTGGTCAGACACATGCTGTGTCTGGGTTGGAAATTACCATCATGGACTTTATAGAAGGTATGGTAGCTGCTCAGCCTCTAACCTATCTCTTTAATTATAGTGGTCTCTCAAAAGTAATCTGGAGTTCTAACATTCTTTTCGACTTAATGATATTTGAACCATTTTATTCCAGAGAGCAGGTGATAGACAATAGATAGAACTGGACTCCCTCAAATATGAGAAATCAAACGGAGTCACATTTAAACATCAGTGGAGGAACAACAAATGACATTTGACCCCTATTCTAGTTTAATTAAAATAATGTCTTATGTTTATCAATTGCTTTTAATACTTAATGCTAGTCTGAATTAACTCAGCTGAGTCTTGTAATGACCCTAAGATATATATATATAGATAGATACATACATACATACATATATATCTTATATATATATATATATATATATATATATATATTGAGCTCTAGCATACTGACCAGTTTGCAGATGTGAATACTGACCCCCAGGCTTGTTAAATAGTTTATTCACATCTTACAACAAGGAAGCATTGGTACTAGAGTGCAAACATAACTTTTCTCATTTCTGATCCAGAATTTCTAATAATCTTCTCTATTTGCTTTTGAAGGCAGCCTCATTTTGTCTAGAGAAATAAAGGCTACCTGTCACTATGTGTCCTTGACCACCTTTACAGTCAGGACATGTAGATATTCACCAACCATTGCAAATTGATAAAGCTCTGAGGTTTGCCTGGTAACGTGGTCAGCAAGAACTGTACAATTGATTTGTTAAATATTATTAAGTGTGTTAGAATTAAAGTATCTGAGGCTGTAAAATGCACATTTTAGTTGAAATTTAGCATCTTGTATTGAATGAAGTTGGGTAATATGGTATTTACCAGTGATACTCTTAAGGTTTGGTTGGATTGAAGATGCCTAGATCTTACACGTACTTACAGACTCACTTTTCCTCACTGCTCTGAAAGATAAATCTACCCTCACTTACTACTTCAAGAATAGTAATCTTTCCTTTAGGTCTCCAAGTAGAAAAGTAGTTAGAAACTTTCAGGTACATTTCTTTCTAATGAGAACACACTCTGTACTGTCATTGTTGTTCAATTTGCAATTGTGTGCTTGAGTCAAGAAAGATCAATAACCCTCAGAATCATCAGCCAGCATTTCCAGTTATTCCACACACAGCCAATGAGTGGGGAAGCCAAAACAGAATGCATTTTGCTGGGTGCTGGTGATAAAGAGGGAAATCAGATATAAACCCGATTTCAATAAGCTCACCATCTCATCTGCATCAGAGAAACAGAGAAGAACACAGATAATCACAACAAAATGTGTGATAAAGCCCCAGTGGGACAAGCAGAGGTGATGTGGAAGCTAAAGAAAGGGCATTTCAGCCAGAGAGATGGATGTCCATAGTCAGGTCAGGGGAGAAGGAAAAAAGAAAGTCTCTTACTTGCAAGAGACGTCTCCTTAAGCCACCTTTCCAGGGAAACCGGCCCTCTGATCTTGTGATCTGGCCTCCTTTCTCCTTCAGGAAACAGATATGAAGTGGCACTTGGGGAAGGCTTTCAGTTGGAGAATTTCTACATCCCACCTCCCTTCCCAAGCCCACTTACCCCTCTCATTGACCCCTGAGAATGAGATGAGGAAGAATAAAGGATTTCAATAAATGAAATCAAATCAACTAAAAGGCACACGAGCAAACTTCAATGGACACATTTCATGTGTTTCAAGTTGGTGTTTCAATTGATCTCTAAGATAGCTTGAAGATTCATGTTACAGAATTTGTTCTGACATTTGCCATGAATGAATTGTATTGTTTGGATAAAGCTCTTAATACCTATGCTTCAGTTTTCTTAACTAATTTTTTTTTAAAAAAGTAGTTGCATGCCTTATTCCCAGGGTTGTCATAAGGACAAAATATAGTTACATAAGAGTTACAGAAGTGCGTGTGGGATACTGTTGAGTTAGAAGTGCAGAAAATTAGGATTATAGTGTAGCCTGCTCTAGTGCTGCTCTTCTCACGTTCTCAAAGGCATCTAAACTCATCCAAAAAGCCAAGTACCATTGGGTTAGATAAAGATTCAGCCGTGACTTCTTTCAGCAAGTCACTTAGATGACACCCTTAAGTCCTCAGTTCTTTGATGCACTGGGAGAAGTAACAACCATTGTTTTCATCCTCCTCCCCTAATCTATATGTAGGCGTGTGACGTTGTATCATGGTGACTGGGTACAGAAAAAGGGCCGCTCCGAGAACTCCAGAGGTGGGGAGGCAGTAGGGGTACCTTTGTGGGGTTGGCCAGACATCCCCAGAGCTGAGACTAGAGAGAAACCACACCTTTCACCAAACCCATGGCCAGTTATTAGCCTTTCCCATGCCTACTTTTTCTATGCTCTTTATATTTTTTTATTTTGGCCTCCTGATGAATAGAATTTAAACTATTAAATTTTCAGTAGAAAGTAAAGTAGGACTAGATCAGGAATGGTAGGACTAGCTTTTCTCCTTTAAAGTTCACTGTACAGGGCATTTAGGACACCTCAAGAGAGACCTGAAATCCCTCACATATATTTGAAAGCCCCTGATGCTCTGTAATGTTTTAGGACTGTCCTACAGATGACTTGGAATTTTCCTTCTCCCACTGATTAGCTAATCTCATTATCTCATACAAACATTTCACTGCTCTGTGTTCAAATTTCGTTGTCTTTAACAAGGGGCTGGCAGTGCCTGTCTTCAAGAATTGTTGTAATGGTAAATCTTAGAAAAGCCCTGCCAAGTATGATCGGGAAGGTTGCTATTCTAAACACTGGCAATGTAAATGGTGTCATTTGCATTTTAAATTGTATGACTTACATTGCAACTTCTAGAACTTTTGGAGTCCATTATTTCTTACCCTAACTTTAGTGAGTTTTAAAAATATTTTTAGATAGGTGTTGAATTTAGTGAGTTGGATTTAGCATCTCTATTTCCTTAGCCCAGCTTCCAGGCAGTGGGTGCAAAAATTTAGTATCAGCCTGACCTCTTGTGGCTTTTCTAGGAACTGTACCTTCTGAAATCTGGGATACGGTGACATTTTTAATATCCAAATCAGTCATCTTTGTTAATGGTGACTACGGTGTTTAACATGGCCGGGAAATGAGCAATGGTCATTAACTCAACTAGAGAGTCAGAATCATCCATATTTTAGTCTAGTTTTTAGTTCCAAAAATAAACGTCCAGAAAATTTATAATCTCTCTCCATATTCTCTTTCTCCCTCTCCATATTTTCTCTCTCTCTTCACTGAGAAAACTACTTATTTTTTCAGTTGCTTGAATCAGATTCCTTTTTTTGTCATTTACACTTTTCTTAACACTTCCCTGACTTGACTTCTTCAGCCCTTGTCTTCACATCCCTTCCATTCTACCAGATCTGCTCTAAAAGTTGATGTTTTCAGGATACACCTATTGGTTGCTTATAAAACTTTTATGATTTTTCAAAGATAAATGCTGCTTTTGATTAATCCAATCTTTTTAAACTTCTTTACTGACTTCTATCGAATGTATTCAGTTATGTCTTCTCAGTCCCTTTTATTATCTTTTCTGTTTTCTCCTGAGTGATTTTCAAGAAAATTGGTACACTTGATTTTCTTTAAGGACATATATTTCCCCAGATTGTCATAGACTGTTTTTCTTGAGTCATTAAAGTGATCTTAAATGATAATTTCTAACTATCAAAAAATGCTCAGTACACTTTTAGTCGACATTTTGATTCCCAGCACTTATTTTGTACAAAATATAAATCTTCATCCACAGTCCTCTTCGTCAATTTCAAATGTACTAACTAGACCAATATACTCACTCTCAACATTTCTTGCCTAAGTGAACACAATACATTATGCTCTCTGCTGCAATTTTGTCCAAGTTTTAAAACTCTTTCTACATGTGGGGACAAGTTATTTCATTTTAAACTTCTCTTTCCATCATGACATTCCTTTGCTTAAAAGAAGTGACAAGAGTCAGCATTATTGTATATTCATTTAGAAAGTTGTTCTGCGCAAGCACTCTAGCATTCAGTACACATTGATGTACGGTGACGTGGAGCTTATTATGAAAGAAAGCTCCCTGAACATGGGGTCAGGCTTTACCCTGTTGTCTGTATGACCTGCTTCCTATTGTGTGCGTGAGTCTGCTAGGTCTTCTTCCTAAATTTTCAATCTTCCTATCTGTAATTAAGTCATAAATGTTGATGAACATCACCAAAGTGTAGCTATTCTGTCAGTATCTGAGTTAATATGAGTTAAAAGTGAATTCCAACTAATTAGGAAAAATAAAGATCCCAAATTCAATTATTATGAAGTATTGCTTTACTAATATCACTAAAATGCACCTGTCTCTATCTTATAGTTACAAACACAACCTTAGAACTTAGATGTCCCAAACAATATTGCAACATCCTCTCATTGTTTCTGAGATATTTGTGATATTCATGCTAATCTGGAATATTCATTTGACTAGCTCTTTAAGGATGTGGTTTCCAAATACATAACATGATAGGAAAACAAAAAGAAAGAAAGAAACTGTAGTAAGTGATTCTAAAAACAAAAGTTATTCTTTCAAATCACTGTCTTTATTCTTACATAATGTCTCTCAAGTATTTTGGTATTCTTTTACAATTTCTTTAATGACGGTTGGCAATAGTAAACAGCAATTTTATTTTTAAATTGTTATTGCTATGTTATTTAATCTTCCTTCTTGGCAAATTAAAGAAAGAGGCATCAGTCTCTTAGTCATTTGCATTTACAGGGAAAATTTTACAGGACCATGAATTCCAAAAGTCCAGGGACATGCTTTTAATTTAGCTTGAATAATCTTTTAGAAAGAATGTGAAATTTTTACACATCTATAATTTAGGTTGCTAACCATAATCCCCTGTAAGATACTTCTTCATAGGGAAACTTCTTGGCATGAAAAAAATAAAAAAGACTTGACTGTGGGGAAAACCTTTTTTATTCTTTGACTGGATCAGACTTGAGGGTGCATGCTCGTAAAGTTTTCTTTGCTTGAAATTGGCTCTGCCACTATCCTTCCAGTCATGCAGAAGAGAAATGGTAATCTAATGCCACTTGGAAATGGCACCTTTTTGCTTCTTATATTTGAGAGAAAAAAAAGACAGCAGTCTTGTCAAGATAGGCTTGGTTCCTATGGATTCTGATAGCTAAGACCAAAAGGTGCTATAGAGGTCATTTACTCCAAAGCTGCATCTTAAAAACAAACAAAGGCAGTATAAGCAGGAAAGAGATGTTCCTGAAGTCGCATAGCCAGGAAGTGTGCAAATTAGAATACATCTAGATCATTTCTATATGTTTGAGCATTCACTCCAAAGTCAGTGCTCCCCAGCCCTGGAAACTGGACACTTCCTGAGAACACAGGCTCAAGCCCTCCCCTCCTTGCTCTGTCAATATGATTATTATTCAGCAAGTCCAGTACAGTGCCAAGGGTCTGTACATATTTATTGAGCATCCTTGGTGATCCTAAAGCAAACAGTGACTCTCAGACCTACATAAAGGAATAGAACCGGTAGCTAGAGTATTTTAAATTAACTTTAGAATACACTAAAATTCCAGGAAGCATCAACAAGCTAGAAATTCAAAAGTCCAAAGAAGAGAAGCAACTTGCATATTAATGAGAAAAGTGGGATTAAACTCCATATCTTTTAGACCTAGGTAATGATCTTAAGTTCATAGATAAAATCATACATAATGGGCCTTGAATATGTGGTCTATATCCTAAGTCCACTCCTTAACTTATTATTATTATTATTATTATTATTTGCTATCTGATATAAACTGTGCTCCCATCTGTTTTTAAACTAAGAGTGAATTTTAAGATGTACAATTATATATACAAACACAAACATACATGTGCGCGTGCTCTGGGCACATACAAGTCATACACACATGCACACACTGAAGTTAATTATAAGACTTTATCTATTGTAAAATGCATCCCAACTTCTGTTGTCTGTTAATGCAATGTATTCAGTAGGTAGAATAAGATGGGGAGATATTTTCACATTCTTTGCCAACTCCAATCCGTTGGCAATAGTGTCTGGAAACTTCTAATACCAAGGTTCTTGATCACACCAAGACTAAGTGAGAACCAGTGCCAAGGTCAAGTAAAGATGTTCTTCTATCAAGGCAAGTAAAAATGTCCAGTGGGACATGGACGCAGGAATAGCGAAGCAAATGCTACCCATGTGTTGTCTTTTGATGGGTAAAACAAGGATAATGGGAAATGTTGGTGAATTTGGTTTAGAAAAAAACAGTCTAACAATGGAAATAGCTTGTGGCCATTTCACTTTTTAATCTAGGTCGTATTTAGCTTTGAGTGACCCAGTTTGTGTGTGTGATCACTAGGAAATATTAAAACAACTTTCATCTACTCTTGCTTGTCTTACCTCTAAAAAAGAAATAATAGCCTCTGTCCTAACTCCTTTAGAGTTTTGTTATCAATCAGTAACTAATCCTTTTATAATCTGCCAGTGCGCCCACACTGGTTCTGTAATCTAAATCTAATTCTATGAGAGAAGTAATATTATTGTTTTTCTGTAGCTATGAAATTGCAACTCAGAAAACCTGGTAATTAGTCCAAGTTCACATTGTGAAATCTGCAATAGAGCTGGAGAACTATCAGATTCATCCTGTTTTCCTTTATGTTCATTCTAGTTGAACAAAGTCTGCGTGAAGGTGTTTTGGTTCTTTAAGAACCTACTAGCATGCTCAGAGAGATATTATAGTTAAAGACAAGTTGCTTCCACTGATACCTGATGTCATGTTCATTGTTATCGCTCTTTTACCCATAGAAAAACCTCTCTTTGACTAGGGAACACCAGCCAAGCACCACCCAGGTCTGAAGAATAGATAGACATATGCACTAACCTGTCCTTCTTGACTGAAGACACCTGCAAAAAAGCACAAAATTCAAGCACTGTAATTTCTGAAGTTGCAAAATATGAGATTTACAAAGAAATGCCAAAACCTGGAATGATACTTGCTCTTGATTCTTGGCCATCTCAACAAGTTACAACATAGCTGTTTTATTTTTCATACCTGCTCTTAGGGAGCAGTAGAAACTTGGAAAGTGATGTAAGGAGATGGACCTTGAAGGGATGCTATTTCTGGGAGTTTGGGGTGCGGTGACAGAAAATGGTTTGGAATAAAATTAATGTTCTTGTCCTGGCTCAGTCACTTATGAACTGTGGGAATAACTGGTCCTCTCTGATTTCACTTTGGGAGAGTTGGGCTGGAAAATTTCCTCTAACTCAGTACATGCAGCCACTCCTCCATGTCTTTTTTATATGCAGTCAGGTAAGGGATTAATTTAGTTCTTTGTTCTTTGATCCCCAAATTGCTCTTCTACCCTCCTTTGTCAGTGTTAAAGACTTGGCTCAGTATAGACTGAGAAGGACAAACACATTCTCTTTGCTGTGATTTAGTTATCCCGCTACATCTCTGTAAGTTCTGTAAGAAAAATAGTCCATCAATAGAGCCTTCTCTCTGTCTCTCCTTCTCTTCCCTAGCCCACTCTCTCCTTTTCTCTCTCCATCTCTTTATGACTCAATGTGTGATTTGAGGTTGCAGTGATTTGAAATACAGAAATAATAAACAGATTGTTGGTTCAATCCTGGTATGAGCTGAAGAATTTTTCATTCTACATATTTCTGTAGAACTCCTGATGTAACACCGCTCACATAGAATCCCAGGTCAACTTAATGCCAGACACAGTGGCTGGCACTCACTGACTGGCACTCATGGGAGGACAGCTGTGAAAACCTCCAGTGCATTCTCTCTCAATGAAAACAAGAGAACAAGGCTTTTTAATTTGAAAGGAAGTGAATGGTCATCAACTGTAGTGATTACCAACTTCTTGCAGTAATGCTGGCTATTTAACATAGAAATTCTTAGGCCAATCACTTGAAAATTCCATTATCATAGACTCAACATGGGCTGGGAATCTGTATTACTGTGACCATTTCAAGTGATTCTAATGACCAGTACAGTCTATGATTCCATTCTTTTACTATACTAATCTCTGAAAGGAAGAGCAAAGATCTCACGTAGGAAATGTCAAACAGCGGGGTTACCACCAACATGCCTGAGCCTAACTTAGTAGCCTTATTATTTAGCTTTATCTGTGATAGTTTTAATAGATATTTGTTGGTTTTAATAGATACGTGTTGAATCTTCACAATGTCCCGTCCATTATGTTAAGCACTTTACTTACATTTTTCATTTAACTACCCACATAGAGCTAGTTCTGTCATATTCTCATTTTATAAAATAGAAAAATGACATTCAGGAGGTTTTACAGTTATAAAATGGGAATAGCAGAACTGAAATTAATTTCTCTGGGTCTCATAAGTTAAAGCTTTTATGTACTCTGTCAATGAAAGACCATGTTTTGATAAGTGTCTTAGTCAAACAGATCCAATTAAAAGATTAGTTCACCTTGTAAAGAGAAATAGTAAGAGGATTTTCTTTCTTTCATTTCTCAGACTATTTTTGCCGGTAAATTTTAGTCACATTTAGCATCTGTGAGCATCTCAGCAGTGAACAGAGCCACCCATTCAAATTATTTATCTTTGGTAGTCAGACATAATCTATAACACTACAGGAATCTGCTACCTATTTTATCATATTTATAAATATAGTTGTTTACAGAAATATAAAAATATGGTCAGTTTCCAAAGAACAATAACTTCTCCATCTGCTCAGTCTCACTGAAAAATTGTTTTTCCTTGTTAGGCATTTATACTATTTATCACAGGAAATGATGTATCCGACATGAAAGAACTCAGGGCACAACTGCATTATTCGAATTCTACAAATGAGAAAACATCTGAGAATTGAACTTTTTCTTTAGTTGACAAAGTCTGTTAGTGGAAGAGATAGGCCTAGGCCTTGGTCCAGACACTCAGCTTGTGCTTTGTCTACTGTGAAACCACAGAAAAGAATGACAGGGAGCAGGAGTGAGAGAAGGAGGGAGAGAGGGAAGGACTGAGGGAGTGGAGCCAGTGAGGGAGGGAGGGAGGAAAGGCAGGAGGGAGGAAGGAAGGAAGGGAAAGAAGGAAGTTAGAAAGGAAGCAGGGAGGGAGGGAAAGAAGGAGGAAAGAGGGAGAAAGGGAAAGAGATACATGGTCCACACTGTTCTGTGATAAAACATCTGATGAATGTTGTCCTTTGGACAACCTGAATGGATGGACTATCTGACTACCAATTTGTTAAGGTGGCTGAGGATATTCCCGTCCTTGTATTGCTGGGTTCACTAGCAGCATATATATATATCTGCATTCTAAGATCAATAACTTTTTTTTTTAAGGATTCTCTGAGTTTCCTTTTACCCCCAAATTTCAATTTTAATTAATTGAGCCCAAATTATAAGAATAATGAGAAGAGGAAAGTTTCCCTTTGTTTCAGACAGTCAACATATTATTTATAACAATGAACTGCCCTCCAGGTTAGTTCTATGGCCCAAGCATCAACTATGATATGCAGAAGACCTGGGTTGAAGGTCCAAATTCCTCTTACAAAATGCCAGTTTTTTGACAATTATCTGAACTTCTTTGTGTCACAGAATTTTTGTTGTTGTTGTTTTAGAATATAGATAGGTAGGACCACCTGGTTAAGTGGACTGAGATAATTCATTAAAAGTCATGAGTAGATGCCTCGATGAGCTTGAGTATTCGCTCAACCAATGAAAGTGGTCTATTTCATTATTACTGTCAATTTCATCATCACAATCATTATGGCCCACTCTCAGAAATGGTTTTTGTAGCAAAGTTATTGGAATTTTGAAAAATGATGACAAGTACACTTGCCAGTTTCAGTTCAGTATAAACATTGGATGTTATTGTAAGCAAAATAACTCACCTGAGAGAAAGCAGAAAAGAGCCAGAGAGAGCAGCAGAAAGACACCTGATATTTTCATAGTGCCTGTTAGCTCTCTCAGATGGAGGCTGCTTTGTCCAGCTCTGGTTCTCTGTCCAGACACTTACCAGATCACTAAAACATCCTCAGACGTATATATAGACGTGACTGAGGGAGGTGGACTCTCCACCTTCTTTATAAAATCACAATCTAAGACCATATGCAGTCCTATACACTTTAGGTATTTATTAGGACTTGTCACCAACTTGAAGTGCTTCACATTTCCCATCAACCTTAAAAATTAGGACAATTATGTGAGTCGCACCTTAGATCTTATTAGTAGACCGGTCATTTCCCACCAGTAGCCTACATTTTCCTAACAACCAATACATCCTCCCTACTCTTCCCTCTAAGGTTTCACTGCATTAAAGAGATGATTCACTGGTGAGTCCACTCAATGGCTATGTCTCTTTCAGACAGGTCCTGCATGTCTGTGGTCCAGATGAGTAACCACAAGGGAATGAGAACTTGGGCATAATTAGATATTCACAGTCCACATCATCCAAGGTGTACCCACAGGAGACAGGTATTCTATATCATCACCAGAACTGCCTCAGGAAAAGCACTCTGGGTAGGAATCCACCTGTCAATTAATAAAATCTTATTGTAGTCAAATGCCATTGAATTTTAACTTTTGAGTCAAAATGAATAGAGGATTTTTTTTATTTGTGAAAAACAAATTGATCTTAAAAGTTATGGAATTGAAGAATATTTAATACATTCCCTTTTTGGAAAACAAATTATAGTCATGATATAGCTCTGTGTTTTACTTCTTGAAATACACTTTTCATGTAACGTAGATGATTCTTATCATACAAGCTTGATGAACGTTAGTGATTGTCACAGTCAACTTAATTGCAGAGTAGGATACCAGAGTTGTTTTTTTTTTAAGCAGAGTGGTTATACCAGTAATGAGGAAGTTTATCCCAAAGCATAAATCACTAATGAAAATATTATGAAGAAAAGTATGGGAATAATATGCAAAATAAACCCAACTTCAGTACAGATGATTATTGCAATGTATGCATAAATCACTCAGATATTAAGCACCTCAATAATTTGTAGCCTTTAAAGGTAGGGGAAATCGATACATATTTCAGGTGGCATTCCCTTATTTCAAAATATGAGTTTTCTTTTTGGTAGCTACCTATTTTCAGGAATTTTAACTTTACTCTGTAGGAAGAGTTTTCTGTCTTTGAAAGTGGTGAATATACTTTATTGGATTTGATAGTTAAAGAAGATATTCCTGTTTTAAAGATGAAGCATGACAGTTTAAAACATTTTCTTTTCATTGCTTCTCTATCAGTTTTATTGCTTCTCCGAACATAATATTCAGAGGAAGGAGGAGCACAGGTTAAAAAGAGGGGAAGAGAATAATGGAAAAGGTGCTTGGTGAGTTTAAAGAGTGTTAGCACTCTAAGGTGGTGTGACGGTTGCATACAGAAACTCAGTATTTTGCAGAAAGCGATAGGGTAGATGATGGACACTCATAGTTTCAAAGACACTAAAGAACAACCTTAAAATTTCACTTTTAAATGTTTTAAAACACTTTATGAGAAGACGAATCTGGGAATATTTAGAAAAACAGAAACATTGGGAAATAGCTTAAGGAAAGCTATAAATTTTTGAATGGCAACTGCCATGGTGTTGATTTATCATGATCTTTACTTTTGCCTTGTTGTGTGAGATTATATAAAAAGCAGTGCTTAGGGACCTTAGGCTTCTCACAGACTGTGCTGAACTCCTACTCTCACCAGTCTCCTTCTTCCCCACTCCACTCCGGAGACGTTTCCCTCCTTTTCTTCCTTCTTCTGTGACCAGAATTTGTATCCTCCTGTCCAAAAATGAAAACAGTTCAAAAACATTAATGAATAATGAAACCAATGTAGAAATAGTAGGTGGTGGTGTTCCTACCGATTTCATGGATCATAAAATCCTTGGCAGCCTTTCTAAAATTTCTGTTTAAATTTATTTTTCCCTGAAGTTTCATGTATGCTAATTGCTTCTCATACCTTGCTTCTAACTGTCAAAAGCACCCTTTACCTAAAGACTCCATCTCCACCTTCCATACAACCTCTCCCTACTCCTACTCCCAACATTCAAGTCTTTTTTTCCCATAAATGTTTTTCATAGAATAATTCATATGTAGAATGATTGTGCCCTCTATGTATTCTGTTTATTTGTTCATATACATTTTCCTTTCCCCACTATTGTTCATATATTATATAATCTAAGCTTTTGAAATACAACTTTCCAACGTTTTATCTCCTTGTTTCCAAACCCTTGAGCTCATTCACTATTTAGCAAGAGTCATGAGATAGAGGCACATTTTCAAAATGTAACTGCCATCCCTCTAATCAAGCCATTAGCGACTTTTTAAAAATGTTGCTCAAGAATTTCAGTATTGAGGCCTTCCTGGTGGTGCAAGGGGTTAAGCGCAGCACTCTGACGCTATCTGCAGCCACCACAGCACTAGCTAGATCCCCGGCCAGGGAGGAGACCCACATGGCTCAGCAGACCTCTCCTATCTCTCCTGCTGCTCCCCTCAGCAGTGTATTTCAGTCTATCTTCGTGTTCTGCTCCCTGGTGTATCCTCTCACCCCCCCCCAAAATAAATATTTAAAAAAGAATTATTTTAGAAAGAATTTTAAAATAGGAAAGAATTTTTTAAAAAGATTTATTTATTTATGCATACAGAACTGGGGTACAGGCCAGAGGCTCAGGGGTGGTGAGAGGCATCACCAGAGACAGAGTGGGGAGCAGAACAGGCCGAATGACGAAGTACACTGCTGAGGGGAGCAGCGGGCAGGTCAGGAGAGGTCTGCCACTCCATGTGGTCACCTCCGGGGCAGGCAGGGATTGAACTCATGCGGAAGTGGCTTTAGCTTCTTAGTGCTGTGCTTCAACCCGCTGCACCACCAGGGAGGGCCTAAAATAGTAAAGAATTTTAATCTTTAAAATTAGTCTTGATTAACATCAAGATTATTTTACTTGCAACTATCAATCTTTGTTCAAGTAAAAATTGTTTTTCTTGGAACTTCCATTGGATCACAGAAGAAAGGGACAAAAGTTTTCAAAAGTCTCTGAAGGGAAGTGGCTGGGAAGAGAATGAGAAAGGGGTTCCATAGTATGCAGGTTTGGTTCAAAAGTCCAAGCGTCTTGGGAGGATACAGCTGCATCACCTGATTTGCCATGGGTGAATCAAAATGACAATAACAAAGGTGAGAGCCAGGTATTTCAACAAAATAGCAGTCACTCAAAGGTTGCTCATGCTGAAACAAAGATCAGAAAGGTAGCTCAAATACATAGACTCAAAGACAGAGAGGCGAGAAATCATATAATCATATAATTCGACAGCGGCTATGGACACATCCAGAAATAGTAAGAGATGGATTCTGTAGAGAGAGAACAGGGAGCACAGAGAGCTTGGCAGCAGTTCATTGGGGATCAAAGTCACTTTCCAGAACCAGCCCATAAGAAATGCAGCTGAGATCCTGCTCTGCAAATGTCACGAAGCTTCCTTCTGGATCCAGATGCCACCTTTGGAGAGAAGAAGGAATAAGGAGAATTCATGAGAAAGGAGATCCAGAGACACACCTACTTAGTAAAATGTGAGTCCCTAGTGAGAGAAACCACAGTGTTTTCAAACCATTTAGGAGTAATAGACACTCGGAGAATGTTTGCCAAATGACTGACATTGAAATGTATTTAATTAGCAAGTCTAGTGTTTTCTGCCATTACTGTGAAATGAAGAACATTAAAATAAGAAATTTTCATTTCTAAAGTGAAAACCTTAGCTATAAATTTGATCACCTCTTCATTAAATTATGTTCAAATTTCATTAGTGTTTAAACATAGACATTTTAAGTAATTATGGCTTCAAAGAACATTTTCTTCAGTCTTCTTAAGTCAAAATATGACCTAAATTTCTCCTAAGAAAGAAACATGGTACTTCTATCTTTAGTGGTTCTGTGATGGACAGGAGGTGAAAAGCATAGACTTTCATTCTAAAAACTGTATGATGGGAGAAGTGTTAACCTTTTACAGCCTTAATATGCATATTAAGGTAGCATTGGAGGTTAGTTTTATGTCTTATACTTATTTTGTGCTTTCTTGGCTCAAAATCACTTTTAGTGTTTGTCAAAATTTTATGTTCAGTCTCACAATTTTTTAGGCTTGAATATGTCAAGGAAGAACAAAATACTCCCTTCCATGTTCGAATCAGCTATAAATTTGGTGACGCTTGGCCCTCCAACCTGTCCAGAACAGGCTTCCATAAGATGTGTTACTTTGGCACATGGATTATTTTTTTTTTTTAAAGATTTTATTTATTCATACAGAACTGGGGTACAGGCCAGAGGCTCAGGGGCGGTGAGAGGCCTCACCAGAGACAGAGTGGGGAGCAGAACAGGCAGATCAACGAAGTACACTGCTGAGGGGAGCAGCGGGCGGGTCAGGAGAGGTCTGGCTCGCCATGTGGTCTCCTCCGGGGCAGGCGGCAGGCGGGAATCGAACTCATACGGAAGTGGCCTCAGATTCTCAGTGCTGTGCTTTAACCCGCTGCGCCACCAGGGAGGGCCGGCACATGGATTATTTTAAGATGAGCTCAATGAAGGTTCACAGGCCACGAGACATTTTTAACCACTCCCTAAACTGTATAGAAGAATAAAAATTGGGCTATTATCCAGAATCCAGGATTTTTTTTTCTGGAAATAACCTTTCTATTGGAGAAACCAATCACTGAGGCAGGCCAACATCTAAGTAGTGAGTAAGTAGCTGGTCTTTGTCATATGAGTCACCTTGTCCTTGTGCCAAGAGACCCTTATCATCATCCCTCAAGCCTCATGCTTCCATACCATTTCTTAGCACAGGACAGGTACCCTCACTTTGACTCCATACCTTTAGCATCCACGATCCATTTGGATCCTCCATACATATGCAATTAAATTTGTTCTTTTCTCCTGTTAATCTGTCTGATGTTAATTTGATTGCTCAACCAGTCCAAAAAGAACTCAGAGGAATAGGGGAAAATTCCTCTCTTCTCCTACACTAGTAAATGCCTTCTTGATCATCATCATTATCATTGAAAACGTGTTGAGAAAAATAGGTTCAAAGTTATTTCACAAACACATCTTCAAGTTTATGGTACTGAAATCAGTATTCACATTTTTTTCCTGGCGTGATCCCAGGCTCTCACCCTTACGAAATATAATGAGACACATTTAACATGACTTGCTTTTGAACAATCTATGAAGGCTACTGGTCACCCTCAGGTTATTGCCTAAATGTTCATATTATCATATTTCTAACATCTCTCCATCAAGCTGACATTGTGAAAGAATCGAGATAGATGAGTAGACTA